CAGTGGGATACAACTGCTTTTCAGATGTGCCAGGAGCTCTACAGGTCATTTTGTATTTAATTTATAAAGGTCATTTTGAATTTAATTTATAAAGGTCATTTTGAATTTAATTTATAAAGGTCATTTTGAATTTAATTTATAAAGGTCATTTTATATTTGATTTATAATTGAGAAAAAATAATCATTGAATCAAAGACTTTCTATGATATTGACATGTTCTCTTTGAAAAATATCATAAGCATTATTTTTGGAAGATTATGACGCTATTTTCTTTTTTTTTTTTTAGCTTTTAAAAACTGTCTTCAAATTTATTCAATATTCTTCGTATACATTTAAAATTTTTGCTGAATATCATTTCAATAAAAGTTTGAAGTCAGAGTTTGAATTTTGCAAAAGTAATTAATTAATTTTTTGAAAAATTTATGCATTTGTTTGATAGCTAATTAGATGTTATTTAATTAAATAAATCTAATGGAATACTGGGATTGATTTGATGAAAAATATCATTTTTTTGAAAATAAAACATTTAATTATTACAAATTTCCTTGCAATTATTTCAAATTAATTTTTTATGACTAAAAATTTGTATCAATTTCCGTGTTAATTTATCATTGATCTGTTAAAATTATTTAGAATGTATTTTCTTTCTTTTTAGGGTTACTGTTGTTCATCAAATTATTTATGTCCAAATGGTGCAAAATTTTACTCCGAAATTATTAGTAAAATGCCACGTTCATGTCAACTTAATTCACCATTTATCACCTGTCCTATTGGTTATACATGTCAAAATGCAGAAACCGAATTAATGACCGGTTATTGTTGTGAAAATGATAATACATCAGTTTCCGGTATGTTAAATGTTTTTCTCGATTATTACTTAAAAAAGAAAATAAAAAAAAAAAAAACATGCTGAAACAAAATGAAAATTTATTCTGCTAATTGCAATTTTAATTAAATTTTATAATTTTGATCACATTCTCAAATAAAAATTCTATATAATAAAATTTTTAGAGTATTTCAAATTAATATAATAAAAGATTAACAAAATATATCGAATTGAATTATTTGCTTTTTTTTTTTTTCTTATTTGTTTAGTATGACTCTGATCAATTATTTCTTCTTTTCCGGATTAATTGCAGGAAGTTTCAGGAATTTTCATTTCTGAACTGTAATACTAATACTAGTGTACTTACTGTTAACTTACTGCTAATTTCGCATAAATTGATTAAATTTTATACAGATGGTTGTCCTCCAAATAAATATGTTTATATGAGAGAAAATGAAGTGATTTCCTGTGATCCATTCAATTCATTAACAAATGTTTGTCCGAGAGGTTACTCGTGTCAGTGGTCATTACCAAAACGACGTTATCAGTGTTGTGGTAATACATCAATGCTTGCAAATAAAATCACTAAAAGTAATAAAAGTAATTTTTTTTTTTTACAATCTCTAAGTAATATTGTAAATAAATTTGCATAATTTATGATGATGTTAACAAAATTATTGTTTGAAAAGAGCTGATAATTGATAATTGATTATGATATGATCTATAATTGCAGTTATTTTTACAAATGTATTATATTTGATGTGAATAATTATTATTTCATGGAATATGCACCAAAGATTGAATACTTAAATTTCACATATCAAAATAATTATCTAAATTTTATGAATAATTTCATGTTTTATTACTTTAAGGATCAAAATTATATATCTTATCATTAACTTATTGCAGGATTGTAAGATCAATGAAAGAAAAAAGAAACAAAATCTAACATTATAATTTAAAATTATTTAAATTTAAAAGAAATTCCAATAATAGTATATTAATTTTAAATTATTATAAAGTATAATATGAACTGAAATGTTTTATTGAAATAAATTAGTTAAAGTGGTATAAATTTGTATAAAAATAATGAAATGAAATATTTTCAAATAATTTTAGCTTGTCAAGAAGGCGAACTGCTAATAGCAGATGAATGTTTGGAACGAAGTGAGCCAGGTGATCTTTGCATAGATGATAAGCAATGCCTAGGTGGTTCCAGGTGTAAAGATGGCATTTGTGAATGTATCAGTGGATATATCATTTATCACGGCAAATGTATTATCAAAGAAGCAAAAAGTGCTAAAATAAAATGTTCAATTTCAAGTCAAATACCATATTATGAGAAAGGATCTAATAAGGTTTTATTTTTTTTTGAAATTTTTGATAATTTAATGTTATTAATAAATGTATCTACAAATTAGATTTTATTATCATAGGTTATAGTAAGTTAGAAAAAATAAAAATAACAATCAATAGCAAATACTATATCATTTAATTGATATAATGTCTTGATGAATGAAATTTATTAAGAGGGAGAGAAAGAGAAAGAAAGAGAGAGAGAGAGGGAAAAAAAAAAAGGAAATTTCAGGTTCGATATTGTTCAACCTTAAAGAATAGTTGTCCAAAAGGATACAGTTGTCAATTTAGTCGTGATGCTGGACGAAATATTTGTTGTGGTCATTTATCAGGTATCAGTGTTATTGGTAGAGGTAATAGTAGTAGTAAATCAACGATAAATGTTCGAAATCATTTCAAAGTTTCCGTCGATATTTGCAACGATGGTACCCCGTATATGCTAAAAGGAATACCACAAACTTGTACTATGGCACCTTGTCCGATTGGATTTGATTGTATTTTTATTAAAAAAGCACAAAATTATTTCTGTTGCAAAAGGAAAATTAAAGAAGGTATGTTAATTTTATTTTTTTTAATATTATTAATTATTAATAAAATTTGTTCGTTATACTAATATAATTTCATTGTCAAGCAAACATTTTTATCAAATAAAATTGTACAAATTTTTTTTTGGATTTTAATTTAAATCATGAAATACATCACAGAGGTGCAAAATGATGGTTGTCCTTCCGGAACAGCACTTCTTTTTCCAACAACCGGAACACCGTTACAGTGTAATAATGCAAAGCAAAGTTCGTGTCCTAATGGTTATCGTTGTCTCAGATCTATTAAAAATAACGGATATCAATGCTGTACCTCAGCTTACAATCCTTTTTCAAGTAATATTTTTAAATAGTTATATAATTTTGTAAATTATAAAATTTGTAAAATATATCGTCGAGAAACTATTAATTGCAATATTTTGAAAAACTAAAAAAAAAAAGAAAACTTGAAAATTTTTTGCTGTTTATACATAAAAAGTTTGCATAGCTACTAAAATCAAGGTTTCATTCATTTGACAAAATCAACTTTATATGACACCAATATGCCATTTTGTGGATAGTAAAAGAGATCGATTAATAAATGAAAGTAAGAGTAAAAAATATGAGAAGTGCAAATATCTTAATTTTAGGATTTTACCAAACCTCGATCAATGCGATATCATGTCCAGGAAGTCAAGTTCAAGTGAGACGATACATGAATGGTCAATATTTAAATCTTTGCGAAGACCATTGTCCAACTTATCAAATCGCAGTTAATGGTTTCTGTAAGAGTCTGGCTGATTTGATATAAAAGTGGTATGAATTCATAAATAATGTCGCAATCGCTTGTGATCTTTCTCATAATCACTTAGAAGCATTCTAATTCCCAATACTGATAACAAATGATATCTCCAGTCTTTCAAAGTTTCATTCTTATTTAAATTTGAAAAATGCAGAGACCATACCTTTGTTCAGGATTGATTTATTTCGAAATCTATTGATTTCATTTTTGAGACTTCATTGGAATTTACTATATGATCTCAATATAACATCCTGTTGGCAGTACCAGTCAACAGGGAACTTACTAGCATCGCAATTATTCATCATAAAATGTATGCATTAATCCCTTGTTTTGTTATTTGTTGATTTATTTCATTTTTTTTTTTCTTCTTGAAATAGATTCATAAAAACCAATGGATAAAGCAAGAGAACGAAAGAATTATGATTAATTCAATGAAAGGCAAAAGAGCCATTTGCTCCCTGTCATTAATAAAAATTAGGAAAAATTGATAAAAACTTAAAACAATCAAAGTTAAGAGGTTTTCAATGAATAATTGTAAAACAATATATATTTGTAAATACATACACGATACAATGATATGAACAATAAATGATTATTACAACCACAATGATTTTGTTCGCAACCTTGTCTACAAAGATAAATCTCCAATTATCGCCAATATCTAGCGCATTTGAAATATTTTATTTGCCGACATCTGTCTCCAACTACTTTTTTAGATACTACCTTTGGATTTGAAAATTTGCTACTTTGAGTAAATAAATCAACTTAATAATTGCAATTAATGCACTTATTTCAAGTTCTGAAATCGCAACACTTTCATCCCATTTGACTCACTACTTTAAACAAAAATGAGACAACTCTGTTGTGTGAGCGCTATTATTAAAGTACAAAAGGTAGACAAATTAGAAACCTATACAAAACGAAATCATAAGAAGTATAACACAAATATACAAACACAACATTATAGCAAGTAGTATCCATGATATAATGACATAACCATCACCGCTTATTTTCTGTTTCAACAATGCCCTCCAAATCTCACTGGAAACTTTTGGCATTATTTATGACTATTATGATTCTTCAGTTGCATGATCTTTCTTAAAAATTCTCAAATTCAGATTACAAATATTCTTAAAAAAAAATATACTTCAAGTTTCTCATATTTATAGAATATGTAATTGATGATTGCATATCTATAGCCTTTGATGAAAAAGTAATAAAACTGTCACACTTTCACTCTAATTTAATGATTTTGCATTTTATCGAGCATGACTAAATGAAATTTCACAATAACTCAACTCATCCATTGCGAATGATGTAAAAATTTAATATATTCAAAAAAATATTATGGCATAACAAATATAAAATCAGATAATAGTCAACAATGCTTACTGTTATTTTTCATTAACCAAAATTATAATCTAATTATAATCTTACTAATTTTACCGCTGTATAACACCAAGAAACAAAAAGAATATTGCATACTTGGTTACCATTATTCACTAACATCTATTTCTTCTTCCAAATGAGTTACTTCCAAATGAGCAATAGCTTCAAGGATATGTTCCATACTAATTGATAACGTATATTCATTAAATTTACTACATTCTGAAGTTACAACAAAGCCGATCTTTTGGAAAAGCTTCAAACTACCAACATTGTCTTTTGAAATTTTTACTTCAAAAGTTTGTAACCCAATCACTCGGAACGCAAACATTAACATTATCCGAACCGCCTCTTCACCTAAACCTTTACGACGCCATTTAGATTCCGCAATCATAGTTGTGAGTTCGCCAATATTGTTGTTTATAAAGATATTAACATCACCCACCATACTAGCAATCTGGAAAATTATCCTAATATAAGATTAAAAATTAGCGGGTAACGCAATCTTACCTGAGCACATTGGCTGATATTAAATATAATATCATACAAATATTTTGTCTTAATAAAGATTTCATGCAGCAAATAAAGATTACGTTCAAAGTTCCGTCACCTCATCAGCACCACTATCAATTAAGTCACGGGCGAGAATAATAAATGTACACTTATCGTCATCTTCATGCCATTTCATCTGCATTTCATGTTCCTCTTCCAGTGATAAACGCTTAGAAGCTGTCAGTCGCCGTAATTCTTCATCCTGAAGATGACATTTCCATACTGAATCAATTTCAAACTTCATGCATTTCACCAATAATTTGCTAAAATTTAAATGACAATGTATTATACCTCCATCCAGGTGTGATATTTAGCTACGTGACATTTACGATATGACACCAAAATTATCTTCTCACCAATAAGCTTCGTGTGCTCGTTCAGACGCATAACCCCAGTTGCAATAATTAATTAAGAGGAAAGATATAGGACGAGCCGTAAAACTTTTTCGAATGATATGCCCGATCCGGGAATTGTTTTTAGCGGGAGGAATGAGAAACGATTAATTTGATGGTGTGGCGTTGCTGTCTTATCCAGCGGAGAGTTATTTGAGATTTTACCTGGAATAGGGATTTATTTGAAGTTACTAGAACTTCACTATCAAATTATTAATCTGTTTGGATTCTTTAATTTCTCATCTTTCATTCTTCTGACAAGTTTCATCATAAAAGGAAATAATTGTTCATATTAATTATGATAAGTAATTCAATTCCAGAATAATTTTCAAATTATTTTTAGGAGTCATCTCAAGATAAAACTACAACGGTTTAACGTTACATATGGAATTAGCTGGGGAGGAGGTGGATGTAGATTCAGATGTTACTGCTGGTGCATCTTTCACTCTTCATAGCAATTTTAAAAGTAAGCTAAAGCGTTGTCACTCGTAGATTAATTCAGAATGTAGTGACACAAGTTTGATAAGATTTTTTCAATTCTTCTATATTTTAATATAAAAAGTTGGCATGAAAGATCTATGTTATACTACTTCGGGATGCTTGGCTTTTTTTTTTTGTTTGAAATCATAACTTTGGACATTAATTTAATCCCATTGGAATTCGAATTCACACTTTAATATGATTCTGAATTATATATATATCTCAGTATTTGCTCGTGCAATTTTGGCTTTGAATCGTGTCGGCAATGAATTGTACATGGAACCAAGTGATTTCGGTGTAAGTTTATTGCAAACGTCAAAAAAGCTACTTTGGTTGAGATTTTTGGGAAAGCAGATTTTAATATGAAGTGAAAGTAATTTAAATTTTCAATGTGGGGAATATCAGTCACTGTTTGGTTGCTAAAACGATGTTATTTCAGCTTGTTTTGCGATCTTTAAGCTGTTCAAAGTCGGCCTTTGGCACTTTTATGTTTTCCAAATCATTCTTCAGTGAATGTGATGTATTACGACTTGATCCGAATGCTTACAATGTCTGCCGAATTCCAATGAAGGTTTCTGTTTTAGCTTTTCTGAATAAATAACAGATTATAATTCTGACGAGATACAATTTCGTCTTTTACAAAATTTAGTGGTGTTGCTTTTTTGCTTTCTTCATAGTTTGTAATTTAGTGTGCGTTATCAGCCTTCAAGTGTGTGAAAAGTTCTGAAAAGGTTGTTCTTTCATGTCAGATTTATCTCAATCCTCGGGCCGATACTATGCTTATTCAACTCACACATACCTATGGTTCGTTAGATATTTATACCGCCGAGTTTCTAGTGATTTTCACATACCTCTTCACTTCGGTCTACCACATTTTTACATACGTTTCACCACATCGTGATTTATACATGTAAATAAAAAAAGAAAGCTTCGGCCATTTGAAGTTTCAGTGAAAAATTGATTCCATTCAATAATTTAGTGCATTCCGTTATCTTATTTCAGATGTCATAAGAAATCATCAAATACCATTCTTCGAATGCACCACCACGTTTCGAACCGTTGTCGATAAAACAAATTTAAATAACTGTTTTGTGATACAAGCAAGGTAACTTACTTTTGATTTATGAGAGTCGATGCTATGCAAATTTTACTAATTTTATGTCAATTAAATAGTTGGAGAAATTTCATATTATTAGATTGTTGCTCGAAATGTTCAATCGAATGCATCACAACACGGATGAAATTTCAATTGATGCTAAAATTGACGAAATATCATTCAGAAATTATATTACACACGAACAAGGTTGTTTTCGGTCTTGTTCGCCTACCTTCTGTCATACTGCTATTAGCAATCAGTATAGTCGACTACCAAATTTCATGTGGAATAATAAAGCTTGGATTTTGGTCTCCTCTCTTTTATGTTTGCTAAAGCTTTCAATTTCTAGAAATTTTTTTTCCCTATTTCATATCTTTTTCGAAGTACTAAACACTACCTTATATGATATTTTGTGAGCTAAGCTCAAAGGTTTTTTTTTTTCGACATTTGTCTTATAAGCAAGGTAAATAAGCGATAATCATCAGAAACATTTTCAATTTGCCTCTTGTTCATAGCGTATTTATCTTGTCTATCCCTTCATTTTTAATTTGATTGGTTCCTCACTGTTTGTTTCAACATATTTTAGATAGAGACATGGTTATGAAAATCGAAGGAAAAATTCCAGTTGCTGAATTTCAGAAGTACAGTATTCAACGGCCAGCTGAAATTACTGTGAATTTGAAGGAACTGAAAGCTATTGTAAATTTTGCAGATATTCATCAGTCATTTGTCAGCATTTATTTCGACCAACCAGGAACGTAAGTTTAAATCATTTTTTGTGCTTTTAAAACGAGGTTCGTAAGGTAAAGTGCAATTAATGGTTGAAAAGTAGAGTAGCAGAAATTAAAGTATGACGACTTTCAAATGATATTATTATGAACAAAGAAATTTTCAGACCTATAGTAGTAGCTTTGGAAGGTGATGTCGTTTATACGGCTGAAGTGATACTTGCAACAGCTGTGGATGATCCCGCAGGTTATGATGTGAATCCCGAAGTTCCAATCAAAATTGTTCATGTCCCAAATGACAAAGGACAACTTAAACGGAAGCGAAGTCAGTCTTCGTTAAATCCTTATCTGTCAGAAAATTCGGCAGCAGATTGTATGGTGGCAAGAAAACGAGTCATTGGGACATCAGGTGTCAGGAGTAATGGTGCAAATGAAGCGTTAAGTGGAGTAGGAAATAAAGATTTTGTTATTGGTCTACCGTACGCAACGTCTTCTCCCATCAGGTAAGATTGTATTTGTTTTGTATATATTGTTTTCATCGGGTTTCTGCAAAACAGAAAAAGAGATTATGAATATAAGGAATTGTTGCTTTTTTTTTTCTTCAAATGGCATCGTCTTTTTCATTGTTTGCTAAACATTCTATCACTAAACATTCAGTTTTTATACAAATTAACATTTTTTATGCATTATTTTTTATTTGTTTCCTAATTTTATTGCAGCGAAACACGAAAGGAGCAGATGGCACAGAAAGGAAAAGAAGACACATTGGCGGAGAATCTAAAACTGCAAGATGATGCTGCGATGGACATTGGAACAAGTGTGACAGAGACTTCGAGAATTTCGAGAATGAATCCATGTGTTGATGATGTTAGGAGATCTGGATCAGAAAGCCCACCTTCTCGAGGTCCAGCCGTAAGTTTTTCGTTTGTTTACTTGAGGTTATGAATGTATATGTTATCTCACTGTTTGTACAAAATAATATTATTCGACTTAGATCATTATTTTTTCAGCTCTTTCGCTATTTATTTTCACTTGATGAGCCAACATTTGATTCAGCAGAATTTTCCCGCGACGCGGAAGTTTTGGCTTCTGATTCAGGTTCAGAAGCTTCAGATCTACATCCGGAACAATATATCTTTGAGTCTGATTCAGAACCCGCTTTATGACCCAATTTGCTCACATCATATCTAAAGTCTTCGAGGAAATGATCTCTTATGAAATTCATTTTCTTGGGCATTTATTTTATTTTATTTTTTTTTATTCGTGATAGGAATCATCGCTGTGCTCTGATTTAACCAATATTTTAATGGTTCGTGTTCTGTCAGATTAACTTCTGCATTTGATTAGAACTAAATAAGCAAAATTTAGTTTCAGTTACAGTTGTTATATAGTTTTTATCAAATGTTCTATTGTTTTCATATTACTCGGTTTAATCGTATGTCATATCACACAAAATTTTTGTAGAAATTGATCTCTCTTGTACTTAAAAGTTTTGTATATGTGTATAAATATATCACTTCTTGATTTTTCTGTTTATTTTTTCATGTAAATTTAATAAAAATTTTCAATCATTTTCTATGATGTCTATTGTACTTTCATAATTGCTTGTTTTACTTTCATTCCACTTACCTTCATTTTATCTCACTTCATTACGTCGTTGCCCCCTCTCCCATTATTGAATTTTCAGCAATAATAAAATAAACTTTTTTTTTGTTGGAACAAAGTAGTGTTGAACGTGAAAATTTTATTTTTTGAAATAATTTTTGATGTGGTAAATATTGTATTTTTGTAATTTAGTTATGAACTTTAAAAACGACATGTTACTATCAAATTGCCATATCAAACACTTAGTCTTTGCACAATAAAATACGGAAGAATCGTAAGGGTGTAAAAACTTGTCTTCAGCCATATACACTATGAAACCTTTCGTTGTGTTTATGTGATTGAAGACAAGTTTAATTTGGTAAAAAAAAAGTCCTTGGATTCATTATTTCAGTTTTCAGTCTTGTTCAAATTATTGTTTAGTTCGTTTGTTCAGCTGAGTTAGAAATTGGGTTGTATACAATTTCATTCATTTTCAATTTATTAGAAAAAGAATTTCCCAACTACCACATATGCTATCTTCATTTTCTGGAAAGAAATGACATGAATTTAAGATAAAACTTGTTTGTTTGAAAAATTAATAGCTTTTTAGGAGCAGATGGCATTTTTTGTATTCGTTATAGCAGATATGATAATCTGAAGATATATTTATTTAAATTGTAATGAGTTTTTATGAAAAGTCCTTCTTTGCTTGTTATACTAAAAAAGTGTTATGGAAGAGATTGTTTGATTTTATTAAATACATCTGAATATTACTTGATTAAAATAAAACTTTTTGAGTATTTGAGTAAGACTGAAATGAATGATTAAGGACTATGTATGGAAATTTCAATCCTTATCATTTCTCAGAGAATCAATTATCAGTTATAATCCTTGTTTACATGAATATGTTAATATTTTCTAGAGATTTATTTGATATCTATGCGCAATTATACCTGAATCATAATTGATATTGTACTATCAGCTGTTATTAGATGATGTTTTTTTGAGATTAATGAGAGAGAGGGGGAGAAAGACGGAGAGAGAGAGAGATTTGATGGAAGTATGTGCAGGAATTATCCATCCATTATTCAAGAATCAAACTTCACAAACATTCAACAACATAAATCTATTATATAACGAGATTTCTTGCACTCTCGAACTTGTTAAGTAAACTATCTATCTATCTCTCTCTCTCTCTCATATCATATGATTTTATCAATTTGTTAGATTAAAACATTGCTTTCAAACTCTCATCTCTAATCACTTATCATTTTATCATCTTCCTGTAATAATTCTAATTATTAAAAGAGCTTTAATTGGAAGCTATTCACTTTAATAACTGTAGTTCTTCAATTCATTGTATAACCTATTTTCAATTTCACCATTTCTAAGTCTTTTCTACCACTCAATGTCATCACTTCATATTGTACACAAGTAAGAAGTATCAGCACATCCAAGTCATTCAACAGGTTATTTTAAATTCAGTTATTGGATAAGTTATTGAAAATTGTTAAAAAAAAATATATCCTGGATAAAATTAAAATTGGAAGATATTTATGAAAGAGAAGGATTTTAACCAGTTAAGACTTTATTTGGGATTAAAAGAAGTAGAGAGACAGGGAAGAAACTGATAATTACTTCACATTATTAGAGTTAAAAAGATTATCGAATGAAGAAGTGAAAACAAATGTGAAATTTGCCAATTGATTGAAGTGAAGAAATTGGGAAAAAAAAAAGGAAACACACAATATTATTCAAGGAAATGACACTTTAGAATTACTCTAATGCATTAGAAAAGAAATACTTTTTTTTCCATAAAACTCTTGTGCTAACAAAAGAATAATATTGGATGCTCCATTCATCTTAATCAGTACTAGTGATAATCTTTTATTTACATTATTTATTTCTAATATTTATTAAACGGAATTTCGTAGTGACTAGGATAAACTGTTTTGTTGTTAATATTTAAGAATTCTGATACATATTTCATACTTCAGGTTTAAATAATTAAGATTTATACGTATATATTTAATCGGATATACATATATATATTTTGGATCATATTATAAATGTAGTGAGAGATTTTCATTTAGTCATCATTATTTTATAGATTTTACAATATTCATAACGTATGGATGCGTTATCATGATAAGAATTCCGTTAATGGCAACAAATCAATTGATGAAGATTCTTTAATAATTCATTTAACACTAAATTTTTCTTTTATTTTCAATTTACTTAATTGAGTTTCATTGAAATAAATGAAAATACAACTTATTAAAGCTCCTGTTCAAATTTGTATCCAATACGCAACTTTCGAAAATGGAAGTATATATGTAATCAAGAGATGAAAGCTTTTCATAAATTAATTAACCGCGTTAAAATTTGGTTCCTGTATTCTTCAGGTTTTTTTTTTTTTTTCATTTTTGGTTGGATGATTTGCAGTATTCCTTTGTATCTTTGTTATGTATCTTTATTTTCAGTAGTTTAGTTTTTCAAAAATTAAAAAAGAAATTTTTCACTTATTTAAATGATAAATATGATGAATGATAAAAGGTAAGATTTGATAAAATGATATAAAAAGTAGGCTTTGGAGTCCATAACATGCATATTTCATCCAGAAGAATAAAGAGATCTTGAAATTGTGTTGCTTATAGCTTAAACAAAGATATGAAGTAGCTTAGTTTAAAATTCTTATATGATTTAATGTACAGAACTGTTGGTTAATGTGATTTTCTCTTTTGTAATCTGAAGAGGTCTAATTTTTCGCGTTAAATTTTTTCAAATCGAAAAAAGAGAAATTTCAGAGTTATGTGGGAACTGTTTAAAGACATGTCATGAGGGATGTAATTGCTCCGTTAAATTTCTTATTTTTTTTGTCTTTGCCTTCTCAAAAGCAAATGGGACATTTATTGGATTGAGAAACTCAAGGTTGAGTGATGAATGGATAGTGATATTAAGTTGCTGAATGGGCTTTGTTAGTGAACATTCAGATAAATTAGTTATAAATCATTGATTTTTTAATTGAAGCAATTCGGTAACTTTTTTAGTAGCAGTACTTCATAAATAATTTTTTAATGAATAGTTAAGAATTTAAATTAGTTTTCACATGTCAGACTAGAGCATGATTAGAAAGTATTTCAGCATCAGTCTTCACTTTCATTATGTCATTTAAAAGCCTATAGCTTTGCTTGCTGTATAATTACATAAAAAGCCTATTTTCAATGTAATTCTTGCGGCTAAATTAGTTTTATATTGCGAAATTAAAGAATCAGTTTAAATTTTGGTTGGTTTGGAAAGCTGTGTTACATTTCCTTCATTTATATTTAAGTCCTTCGCCAGAATATTTTGCATTTTCCTGTTTCGCGGTCATTGTTTTCTCCGTTCGTAGCAAGATGTTCAGAACTCCTAGATGCCCTAAAATCACTTAAATTATTTGTAAATGACAACTTCTGAAAAGCACTCATATTCCTTATAAAAGACAAGAATCACCAATCAGAAAAGCATGCTTCTTCTCGTGCAAATATTTGTCTCGACTTTGTTTGGTAACGAAATTTGAGGACCAAAGAGGAATAATTGCTTTGTTAGATCGTTCTCTGTAGATACACTACCCACGGATAATAGATTTGTATTAGAGAAAAGGAATTGAGGAAAGAAATATGTATTTGCATTTGTCTCAAATTGCTTCCAATTCATATTTATTATCTTTTTATTTCATTGACAGTTAACTATCTTATGTATATATACTACTTTTTATCGAAGGAAGTAGTATAATCAAATCTTGCATAAGATGGTTAAAATTACCGTATTTGATACCAATCATTGTTTACATTGCTAGTCGAGAAAACATTAGGATTGTATACCTGTTGAGATTGTTCAGTTGCTCTCTTACTATCAGTTTTTTAAATAAACATTTAAGATTAAATAATTCGAAAAAACTGTTTCATTCCATATAGCGCAATTTTGAACAATGGATTGGAAGTATGCTGTTGATACGTCATAGTTAATATTATATGGGATGAAGAAAGAGGAGGAGGAGGAAGGGATGTCTAAACCTTTTTTATGCCAACAATCGTCGATAGAGGAGCTTCTTTTTAATCTCTTCACACGAAGCATTTTACCGAAATGCCTGTTCGGTTATTCATTGTAGAGTAACCGGTTTGTCCAGTGAATTAATTGTACAAGACAGAGTAAGTTTAGAAATGCATTTTTGTAGAATTACAATGATCCATTAGTTTAACATTATGATAAGTTTAAAAAAATATTTTTGATATGCATTAAATAAGGATGCTTGTCATAGTAGTTGTGATAAGAGATCAGATACTATTGTCACTATCACCTTGATAGGTGCAATCATCTAATGACTCCTTTCTTATAGCTGATGATGAAGTCACGAGAACACAAAATTACTTTTCTATTTGTGCTTTGTTGTTCAACATGGTTCTGGTCTTTTCATTTGATGATAACGTCGTTTTTTAAGATTTATACAGCTGTGCAGTTAATGTGTTGCTTAAACCAACTGTTAGCAGCAACTTCACTTATGGATGTAGCAGGTGATTGAAAATTATCATACATAGTACAT